GATGCGCTGCACGGTCTCGGCCTTGTCGATGCAGCGGCGCAGCAGGCACTGCGCGTCCAGGCGGGTCTGGGAGTAGGCGTCGCTGAGGCGGGACAGGAGGGCGGCCTTGCGCGCCACGCTGGACAGCTTGGAGCGGGTCGGGGACGGGCTCCTGAGGGCCACGGCGGCGGAGGGGCTGGCCGACCCGCTGCGGCTGCGAGCGGTGGGGCTGGGCGACCGGCTCCGGGAGGACCTGCGGGAGCCAGAGTCACCTTGGGGCTTTCCACCGCTACGCCCAGGAAGCGGCGCGGACTCAGGCCTCCCCGACCTCACCAGCCTATGAGAAGGCCCTGCCCCAGGGGCCTCAAGCATCCAGTTCTGCAGAGTGGGTTCCATTCGTAAAGCACTTCCCCCTTTTTTTGAGTTGGAGTCTTACTCTGTCGCCCAGGCTGGGGTGCACTGCAACCTCGACCTCCTGGGCTCAAGCAACTCTCCCACCTCAGCCTCCCCAGTAGCTAGGACTACAGGCGGCTCACACTACCATGCCCAGCTATATTCTTTTTATTTATTTATTTATTTTGTAGAGATGAGGTCCACTATGTTACCCAGGCTGTTCTCCAACTCCTGGGCTCAAGCGATCCTCCAGCCTCTGCCTCCCAAAGTGCTGGAATTACAGGCGTGAGCCACAGCACTTGGCCTCGGTTTAGCCTTTAAGCAACCCTGGGAGGCCAGGCCAGGCTGATTGTTGGTCATTTTACACAAGAACTTGAAGCTCAGAAAAGTTCAGAGTAGGAGAAGTCCAACTTGGGCAGTTCTTATCCAAGTTCCTGGGGGTTAGCACATCACAAAAACACATCACACCAACACATCACACCACCTGTGGCATGGAGTGAAGTGGACGCTGATTGAATGAGGAGAAGGCCTCTGTTCTTGTTCAGCCCAACAGGTCAGTGGGACCTTTGTGATCATTTCCTCCCTAGAGCCTAAATTTTTCTTTTTTTTTTGAGACAGGGTCTCACTCTACTGCCCAGGCTGAAGTGTAGCTCATTGCAACCTCAAACTCCTGGACTCAAGCAATCCTCCCATTTCAGCCTCTGGAGTAGCTGGGAATACATGGTTGCCCAACTAATTTATATATTTATTTATTTATTTATTTTTGAGTTGGAGTCTCACTCTCTTGCCCAGACTGGAGTGCATGCAGTGGCCGCTCCCAGCCACTGCAGCCTCGACCTGCTGGGCTCTGGCAATCCTTCCACCTCAGCCTTCCAAGTAGCTGGAATTACAGGC